GAGAGTAGGGGGGGGGGGGTTGACAGTACCATCAAGTTTTACAGGGCAAGGCATCGACTTTGATACAATCCGTCATCTACGCAGTTTGAGGCAGGAGGCTAATTTTACTGATAGGAGTACGCGCCCTCGAGATACAGCTAGGTGTAGTTCTCAGAAATGTGTAAAAAAGGAGAGCAAAGTTTGGGCGAGAGCCGAAAGCTACTGTGCCTCGATGGAGGAGCAGACAGGCAAGAATTGCAAGGAAGGAAAAGATGAGTCAATCTCCCCGTGTGTGTTCTCATAAGCAACGTAATCAAAGTCAGAAAATGCACCGTTTTTTTTTTCATTCTGTGTCCGTGATGCCCGTGCCATTCCAGGCACACCTTGCTCTGGAACCCAGTAATCGGTACTTTTCTGGCAAAAGCAGGAAAAACAGCAACATACGTGTAGCTACGTACCAAGTTTTTCTTGCGTGTCTCATTTTGGGGGGGGGGGGGGAGCATCACGTAAACATCGAGAGTGCGCGCGAGCGGCGGCGACACACACCAGGTCCCAGAATTCCGGTTCAATTGAGCCAATTAATAGGGTAGAGAATGACGTCGGGCGCTGTTAGGTTGTGTGCACATCAGGGGAGAACCACTTCCAGTACTGTACTAGTAGTTAGCTTGCTTGCCAGCTACTAGTTAATAGCACGAGACGCCACAATTCATTCCAGCAGCGCGGCACAAGTACTCCGTACAGTGCGGCACAGAACATGGTATCGCCACGAGAAGGGGGGGGGCCGGTACCCCACTTCCCCATAGAGCTATTTTAGCACACCCCACTACCATCTGCGCACACACCCTTCTTTCTTAGGCTTAGCATGGAAGACAGGGATCATGGGGTAAAGCCCCGCCCATTTACGGCTGCCCAGTGTCGACTTTCAAGTGTCTCTTTACTGGGTACATCTGTATTCTTCTAGCAATGATAGATTATATATGACCTGGTCTATGTATGTACTCAGAGTCGAAATATCAACGAGTAAGGAACAAGGGGGCTTGCTGTCAATTTTTCTGCACCGCTAGTCGATGCAAAAGCTATGCTGCGTCATTCCGTATATTGTGTTACCTCCCGCCTCTTTTTAGCCCAGTTTCCCACGCTAAGGATGGCAGGTACCGCTGTGACGTCAGAATGGGATTCTGCGCCTTTTTATGCCTAAATTGCAAGTTGACTTGCGTTTTAATATTCATCTGTAATATCTGCATGTGTTTTGATCATACAAAAAGCCACCCACTTCCACATTACTGTGCCGGGGGGGGAATGAGTGGGAGTGGAAGGGGAAGAAAAGCTTGTTCCCACAAGCAAGGGTGCGCTTTTTCGCTGCATAATTCGGCGCGAACTTGCGCTGGGGGGCTTATTCTTTCTGCAGAAACGGCATGGGCTTTCCCTCTTGTTTCAAAACCACGCAGATATTCCCAAACGTGGAAGGGTGACCGGGACTGTAAGATGGGTGATGACATGTTCTCTTTTTTTCATGGTGGCCCACCACCATGGAATAGGAGAAAGAAAGGTCAAGGAGAGCCCACTGGGGCGCTCCAGACAAGGCCAAAAAGGTATCCACGCTGCCTCGTTACACAAAGTAATGCAGGCAGGAAACCGCATGTGCATGTTTGTGGTGGCGGGTCATGTCGGAAGGAACTTCCTCTGCATGTTGGAGAACTGGGGTTGGGAAAGTCTGCCCTCCTGTGCAAGGGGACGTCTATTCGCACATCCATATACCGAGGTGCGAAATTGTCTGCTCTGGAAGAAAGGTGAGCCTTCGCGATTGGGGCATCTTTTCGACTTGGAACGTCGGAAATGGCAAGAAACCACCCACGGCCCTATGCAAGAAAGCCAAAGATGCAAATTCCATCGGCAATCTTCAGTTGTGGCGTTCCCGCCCGTTGCAGCATGGCAAAAAAAGTTAAAACGGCCTTGCGTGCGCCCACTTCTACGTCGAGTGCATGAAAGGAATCAATCACAAACCCCATTTCTTTCCAAGGGTGCACTCTTTTTTGCTCTGCTCTTTGTCTCGGATTATCACCTGTCAACTGTCAACTGTCAGAGAAGGAGTTCTAGAACCGATGATGGAGCAGAGAAGATGGCAAAGGAACGAATAGATTACGGACGCAAACTATAAAAAAAAAGCCAAGACGGAACCGCCCGTTGCGATGTGCAAGATGGTGGCTAGAAGAGGGAATATGAATCGTCAATCTTGGCACAAAGGAAACAAAGCAATCCAAAGCACGACCGGCTTTCTTTTCTTTTCTTCTTTTTTTCTTCCTTGTCAAATATCTGGATAAAACATTTCAATCCATCGCATCTGAAAGCAGTAAGTTGCACCCAGTGCTGTCATGAGCAGCTTGGCATCTTATCTCCATTGTCGCAGAATACACCACTTCTGCCAGAAATTCCCCACGGGTAGTTGAAAGAAAGAAAAAAAAAAAAAAAGGCAAAAGGCCCGACTTTTATTCGTCTCCATTATTTGATTCCCTGTTTTAATTTCCGATGTGCCAAAAGACCTTCTTCCCCTCCGCGGTGATAAGACACCATACGTAGCATTTGCTTTTTTTTTTTGCCTTTATTTGCTTTTTTTCCCCGTCGCACCTAGCACACCAAGCTTTACCGTGTGGATAAGAAAAGCTTGTTTTTCTTTGGCTGCCCCCATACAAGCGCTAACGCGACACTAAGACTAATAATGAATGAGTCTGAGTTGCTTTTTGCGCGCCGGGCGTGGGCTACAGGGCGTGCTTGCAGCTTGCAGGATACATGACGGACACATGTGCGTATTGAGTACTGTAGGTGTGTAGCTGTGCTGTGTATGACAAGGCGGGTGGGTGCTGGGATTCCTGATTCTACCCAGCAAAGTAGAAATATTCGATAGTGCGTGAATCCTGCATGGGATGCCAGGAATTGCAGCAAAGTACCGATTACACAGTGCTTGGTTTTGGACCGTTGTTGCTGCGACCACAATGGACACACACAAAGCAGCTTTTCCCAGTCATACCATCGTCATTCTTTACTTGTTAAAGCGAGGGCTCTCCACAACGCTTACACAGACAGTGACAGGCATACAGGACTCCAGTTGCAACCTCGCAACCCTCAAAACAAGGATCCAGTTTGATGTGTCATTGAGGTAGTTCCGTTTTTTCATGAATTCGAGTTGTGAGATCTTTTTTTTTTTTTAAAAAAAAAAAAAGGATTCTTTCCCCCCCCTTCCCCTCTCGCCCCGAGCGTCGAGGATGAGTGGTGAAAGGAAGGATTGCATCCGTAGGCTAAAACTAACTATTCTGTGCTATCGAATGACAAGTTTCCAGCTCGTCTTGTCGAAAAAAAAAGAATGTGCCGATAAAATGGGTCTGGTAACACCCCGTTGGGAAGCCAAGCTTTTTTGGTTGTAGATCGACCAAATCTTTAAACTTCTTGTCCGCGTGCGGCTGGACACGGAAAAGAAGCATCGAAGAGACTTGGCTTTAAGAATGCCAAGCTTTCTTCTTTTTCAAAACGAGCATCAAACGCAGTATCGAGGATCGACTTCTCCTAAAATAGAAATATCAATACGACCCCTGGGCATTTCGTTGACAATAGGAAATCATTTCCCCCTCCACACAAGTTGCCACCTTGTGTTCCTCACCGAAATCTGTGGCCCTTCTCTCCCCCAATGCCCTTTTTCTTCTACCCACACAGTGTGAAAATGTCAGCTGTGAAGAGGCAGAAGGGGCGGCTTGGGCGTTTGCATGGTCACAGGTTGGTAATAAGTGTTCTGTAGAATGGATCGCGTGCAGAAGGCTGTGCAAAAGTGACATTGTTGTCAGTGTGTGCCTCAAAGACTGGATCCGGGGGGGGGGGGCGTCTCTGTAAATACTAGGTTCAGTACCTATCGTCCCCGCTGATAATGAGGTTAGAAATTTCCGCTATCTGGGACGTTTATTCGGAGCTATAATTTCAACCTCGAGGGTATAATACACAGCAGAGCTTAGCACCTGCTGGCTGGAGGGGCAAACGGCGCCGATCGGCGCATTGTAGAGAGGATGAGGCCCTGCGCAGGCCACCTGTTCGTCCATCTTGAGGATCAGCAGGCGCCAAAGCACATCAGAACGCCTCCAACTACACAAAAAATCAGTTACAAGGCGGCCAAGGAGGTTGGATGACCACGATACAGTCAGTAGCATGGCGATGGGCACACTAAACAAGAGAACTACGAATGCCTTCTTTTCTCAACGCCGCCTCTGCAGTCTCGTCCAGGTTGCAATGATGTACTCTGTCAATTTGGTGTATACACGAATGTAAAAACGGCATTACGCGTCCCTCTTTTCACATGAAAAAAAAAAAACGACAAAAGATATAGCCGAGCCGAGTTGTACAAGCGTTTCACAGCCTTTCATCCTCGCCTAAAGATTTTTTTTTACCCAGTCTTTTAAACTGGTCTCTATTCTGTGGAGATGAGAATTCGGGGTAGGAGAGGTGGGTGGGTGCCTGGATGAAGCGACGCCGGTGGACGTAAATTGTAAGCCCATGGCCCATCTTACTGGTATTACAGGCGAGTTGGTGGTGCGGCGGCTGATGTCACTTGTCCTTGCTTATCATGGCAAGTTGCTTTTCGTCCGTAGAGTGCTGAGTGAGTACGGATACTTATTAGTACAGTATTACGTACAGAAGCACTGTCGCAAAGCAATCGCGCATACCAACAGTCGTCCTATACCAAAAAGGACTCACCTTCCATCGAATAATACCCACCCCCGAAATCAACTACCAAGACAACAAGACATTTAGCATCCCCCACAAGAAAGCTTGTCTGGCTCTTTGACAAGACAAAAATCTTGCCCTCTTCAGGCAGTGATAACCCGCGCTGAAACGACCCAGCCTCCCCCCATTCCTCCTCCTCTCAGAATCTGACCTCGTCCGTTACTCCGGTATCTCTTCGTTGCGAACTGAATTGGGGTACCGCACCTCTAGACACAACTACTGAGGGGTGACTCCTTCGATATAGTCTTTCGTCTTCAGATGTGTGTTTTTTTTTATTTATTTTTTTATTTATTTATTTATTTATTTTTTTAAAAAGAAAATCTTAATTGCCAGTCCTTCATGTCTGGAGAGAGGAATCAGTCTCATCCTTTTTTCTGCTTTCTTGATGCACGGCCGCGTAACCACACACATCTATTTATCTGTTGCTAACTTGGTTCATCTCACTCGCGCGTCAGTCAGGCGGCTGAGTGTAAATACTGTCTGCAGCCTTGACAGTCAGTCAAGTGGTGGGTGGCTGCAGTCCCGCCACGAGATTCCATGGCGTTTCTCTCTGTGGCTTATTTTTCTTCTATTCTTTTTTTTTTCTTTCTTGTTTATTTCTCCTGTCGCTCCATCTTCCCCTGAGAACCCGCCCCCCCTTTCATCGTTATGAATTATTACTCCGGTACTATCCCCCACCCTTGCGGCCCCTCTCATGAATACCCCCCCCCCCCTCCTCCTTTCCGTTATATCCAGCTGTCGCTCCATTCCCAAAGAGGTATGCCGCAGTTTCTTTGCGTCGACACATTCGTCCCGTCTGGCTGCTAGAATGCGTCAATGCTTTTTGACAACCTTCCTGCTCTGGCACGACTCCGTTGTGTCGGGCCAGCAGTGCATCATTTTGCGCCGTTTTTCTCCTTGCTTGCGCCTCCCTTGCCTTGGCACGTGGGACAGCCGAAATGAATCTGTGTCTAGAGTTGTCTTAGTCACTAGCCATCGTAGAGTATGTTTATGCACACTGGCAATGGCAATGTACCAGGAACTACAGAGTACAAAGCAGTAGCGCAGCAACAGGTTTCGAGAAGATATATACTCAATTCGGGTCAGCTGTGGGTATATGACCGCTGAAATATGCAGAGACGCGTCTGCCGAAATATTTTTCTAAATGTACAGTGAACTCGCCATTTCCATGCGCGGCTCTCAAGTGCAATATACATTGCCGTCCCTCGCACCGTTGTGAGGTGGCGCTGCCCTTTGGGTACCAGCGCCGTCCGTCACAGATATCTCACCCAAAACTAAAGCCAATTAAACCAAACAATGAAGCCAAATATTGTCAAAATCGTCTCGTCACCTGCGAAACCCCCAGTAACCATAAACGCCAGCGGACGAATCTATAACGGCTGACGCCGGCTCATGACCCATACTCGTCATTATTGTCCGAAAAAGAAAAGTGCAGAAAATATCCCCAAACCCCAAGCCCCTAGTTTCAGGAACCTTGTCAGCCCAGCAACCAGTGCTTTGACTAGTTGCCGTGTTGATGCTTTCGAGTCAACGAGCCATTCTTTCATCTTCATGGCTCTTGTGTCGCGAAGCGCATCTCTTCGTTTGATAGAAGTTTCAGTCGGAAAAAAACCACCGTGTAATTAGTAGTACCAGTGGATATATAAAAAATTTCAGCACAATTGTTGCTGATGGTGTAAATTAATCCGAGTGGTGCTCTTCGGAGCCAGCCTCCGAGCGAGCATCGCCGCGGTGAACCTTGCGGTGGCGTCGGAGGTTCGAGACGACTGAAAAGTGTCTGCCGCATCCCTCAACGTCACAAGCAAAAGCTACAAAGCCTGTTAGTCAACGTATGAAACCTGGCTCGCATCTAGAACAACATACGCTTCTCTCCAGTGTGGCTGTACATGTGCGTTTGCAACGAGCTCGGGCGGGTAAAGCGCTTATCGCACACCTTGCACTTGTGCTTCTTTTGCGTGCTTGATGAGACCTTGGAGCTGAATTGGCCCATCATCGACTGCGGCGCGGGGGGGAGCGGAGGGCCCAGGAGGCCTTGCGGGCGGGGCAGTGTCCTCGATTCAATGTCTGATCCAGCAGTTGAGTAATCGGACACCGAGTCGCCATAGTAGGAGCTAATGTTACCGGTAGAAGAAATCGACGAGCTAGTCGAGTGCGCCGATGGAAACCCGTAGGAATCAACAGAAGAGCGGTCGTTGCGCCCGCCATAGAGGTTCCTCGGGGTATCCTGGCTCATTGCCAGCATACCCTGGCTGGCGTCGAGGGCGTCAGCAAAGGCGCGTCGGTCCTCAGTGGGAGGCATGGCACTATCATGCAAGTTAGCAATAGGTTCAACGGTAGAGGATACCATTCGAGACTGGACTGCGATGGTTTGTCCAAGGTACTGACGCTTGCGAAAATCGGCGAGAACTATCGTCATGGCTCATAGGAAAAGGGTGTTGGCGTGCTGGCGCGGGCGTGTAGCCCATGGCCTCGTAGGGCCCGGATGCCGGAGGCGCAAAGTGACCGTTGACAGGCGAAGCTGAAGTGGCGTAGCTGGGCTCGCCAAAGGTGGCCGCCGACGTCTGCATGCGGTTCAGGCTGAGCATATCTTGGTTGGAGTTTAGCAGATCATGATGCATGTTCAGACCGGCGGATGAAGGGTTGTGGCTGCTGGTGGCGGAGCCCAAGGGCATAGAGCCGTAGGATGCCATAGACGAGGTGCTGGCGGTGCTGCCACGACCAGGAACGGGCTTGCCCGGCATCATGGCACTAGGCATGCTGGGCTGTCCGCCATGGACGTTAAATAGAGCACCTCCGGGGCCAGCGGCGGCAGGAATAGACTGAGGCGTCGCAGAAGACGACCACGGGTTAGAGAAGGAGGGCGGCTGGGCGTGGGCCTGGTAGTCAAAGTTGAGCCCGGGGCCGAACCGTTGCTGTTGTGAAGGATCCAAAGCCATGGTCATTATGTGAGTATAAGTTGTAATAGTGTTGGTATCAGCGAGAAGAACAGGGACCGAATCGCCGCAATGTCATCAACACACAGACGTTCAGATAGTAGTAATGGCGGTAATTGACCAAATAAATGGATGGCGAGTAAATGCTGGAATCGAGCTACTATGTCGAACCCAATCAAGATTCGATCAAATTATTCGGTACTGGAGCAATCTCGGTGGCTGAATGGCTCAGATGAAAAAGTAAACGGTTCTTGGCTCTGTGTATATCGGCCAAGAAAGCCGGGGGATGTAGTCGACAAGAGATGAGTAGTGGTAGGAAGTGGCAAGATGAAGAGTGCAATGTATGTTGCTGATCAGACGTAGGATCCCGACTAGAAGAAAAGCCAAGTCGGTAGTCAGATTCGATTCGAGAGGATCCCGCTTGGTAATGGAGCGGCGTGTCGTTGACGGGTTGGGGAAAAAGCCAAGTGTGGGATCAGCGAAGTCTTAAGTGTCTGTCGGGCAATGAGCGAGAGACAATTGACGGTGTCAGTGACCTTGTGAGAGGTAGGTGTCCAGCGGGGATGTCAGTGGAGATGATGGCGCACCCTCGTCTGCAGAGAGGACGGAGCAGGACGGCGTGGGTGTGCTTGTTTAGAGCCAGGGTGTGTGACGAGTTGCGTGGGCAGAAGTGATCGGCACGCCCATGTCCCATTTACTGATACCCCCAGGTGAAGAGGCTGCAAAGCACAAGGGGGGGTGGCCACTTGGTGCTGGGTGCAGGGGCGGGAATGAGAGACCTGATTGCACTGTGCAAGGATAATAAGGCGTCGCACAGTAGGGGATGAGGGGAAAGGATACAAGGGGAAAGGAAACAAGAGGATGCAGTTGGGCAGTGCGTTGTACAAAGAGGGAAGAAGAAGAAGATGAGGAAGCGATGAGAAGAGGGAGATAGTAAGTAGGGAGCAACGGGTGAAAGTATACCAGTAGATGCTTTACTGATAGAGTAAACCAGTGCAGAGATCAACGCAATATCTGAGAAGAATGAAGTGAATGTAGATGAATGTGGAGGAGAGGAGAGGAGGAGAGCGCCGGTACAGCGGTTATAGTAAAAGAGGGCAAGACAGGGAAGGGAAGTGAGCCCGAGCACCAGGACAGCCAGAGGAGTCCCAGGACGAACACAACACTGGTCAGTATTACGATGGTACGGGGAAGAAGAAGACAAGGCAAGGCAGTGGCGTTCAACAAGTGGAGAGGGAACCGTGTCGTTGGGAGAAGGAGAAATAAGAGTGATTTGCGCCAGAGGGACGCAAGGACGTTGCCAAGCACCAGATTTAAGGTAGCGAGATTTAAATAAGTGGCCACGGAAGGGAGGGGCGGGCAAGATGGTCAACAACCACAACTGCCGAGGCAGAGTTGTGTTAGTGGTTCTTTGCAAGTGTGTGTATGGAGGGGATTGAGGTCTTTTACGCTGCAAAGACGGCGTTGTTGAATTCAGGAGACCAAGTTGAGAATTGACATGTAGAAGGCGTTGGACAGAGGTAAATACTGGTAATAGTAACAAGTAAGAGGACGGGACCCTGAGGCTTATACCCATGGAGGAGAAGAGGAGGCGGCAGCCATCGAGTAACGTACGAGGGGAGGTCTACAGATTGCCAGTACCAGCTATCTGTACATCCGTAGCACAGCCGCAGTCGGTCCTCGGTACTTGCTGGCAGGCAACATCAAACGCTATCAACTACCTTAATATCCGTACTTGGTACCAGCACGTTAGGGGGAACTGGGGGGCACCAGCCAACAATGCCTTAAAAAACAGTGTGGCACTGTGTGGATGCTGACGTACTCGTGCGGTACTGTATGTGGAGGAGGAAATGTGGGGTATATGGAGAAGGCTTGATGGAATTAGATCCACTCGGCAGAAAAACAAGCACCAGCCAGCCGATGCATGAGTGGATATCAGGCGGCGCACTAGCGGGGGTAGTAGGGGTGTCTAAAAGAAATCTGATGTAAAGGTATCGAGAGAAAGAAAAAAAAAAAGAAAAAAAAAAGAAAAAAGATGGTGGGGATATCAAATATGGGGCCTATGCCTGGCTGTGTTCATTCGTAGCGGGTACGGAGTACATACAATGGCGAAAAAGTGTGGGAGTGCATCATGGTGCGGCTTCGAGGGGCATTTACTCTGTACAAATATCATAAATGAGACGGGGTATAGTCGAAGAAAGCAGAACAATTTAGCGAAAAGTTACGAAATACAGCGACTATTACAGCGATGTTTCTAGTATAGAGAAGACACCCTCTCTCGTCTCAGTGGCACGAGCTTCCTATTTATCTGGTGGCTCCCCCCTCCTCCCCCGGGGAAGAGCCCGCTAAAAGGCTCAGCTACGGGCAATTGAGCAGGAACCAGTGGGCCTGCAAGAGAGCCAACAGCGCAAATGGTTGATAATAAAAAAAAATAAAAATAGAAATAAGAATAAAAGGTACTTGCTTGTCGGCTTACAGCTCCGTATTTACTTCAGCTTTGTACTTGTAGGTTGAGGTAGGTAGGCGACGCGCAACGCCCTAGCCTCAGTGGCGATTTTCTGTCACAGCGCTTTCTTTGGGGACCGCTAGCGCCTGCCACGCCTACCTACCTCACCGCACCTCTTAGCGCACCTCGGTAAACTTGTCTCGAGATACCAGGAAGCCCCCCCCCCCAATGTTGAGCGTACATAGATGCAAACTTCAATCAAGCCCATGGGGCTGAATCAAGGATCATTGGAAAGCACGGGGCAAAAAAAAAAGCGTTCAGAGTTTCCTCTTTTTGTTTAGACTTTTACTGGTTATTATTCATCGTGCCATAGGCCGCCCCTATCCACTGACTATAAAAAAATAAAATAAAATAAAAACATGAGCATTAATAAAATCACAATAAAAACAAAACCGGTGGATACTGGCGTTTTCAATCCCAAAAGAAAAGCCAAGAGATTACGGATAAATAGTTAGCTGGTCGACAGCCCATCATGCAGGGTCTATCTGCCTGGGGTCTGGATGATACTGGCAAGGGAAAAAAAAAAAAAAAAA